GGGGGCAAAACAAAAAATGAATAAAGGAAAATATTATCTATCTATCTATCTATCTATCTATCTATCTATCTATCTATCTATATCTATACTCTCTATGTATATCTTTACTATTATATAAAAAATTCTATGGAACCATCAGATGTTTTCTTATGGAGCCATCTATCACTTAATGTATTGACACTTGTCCAAATTGTATTTATTGTAGGACAGGTGTCAATACATTATTGGTGAATAATTGTGGATGACTTCATAAGTCGAGCCATCTGATTGCTTCATAACAAAACTGACTATTATAAAAGTGTCAATGAATCTGTAAAAATATAAAATGCCTACAACACCCATACTTTTCATATTTATAATGTCAGATTTGTAATTTTAGTACCCCTTCTATAATAATGTTCTTAATTATTAACGAATATATAATGATTTATTTTAATGTAAGATTTGTAATTTTAATACCCCTTCTAGTTAATAAGAACAAGGATTAGGTAATACTCTCGCTCGCTCTCTCGCTGCTCCTTCTCTCGCTCGCTCATCTTCAACAACGTCTTGTGCCTCCTTCAACAGTCGGCCGGGTTCGTCGGCGGATGGCTCCCTTACCGAGTATCCTTCTCCGATCAATGGCGCTATCGGTCTGAGCTTCCAATCGAAGGGACGGGCTAGGGTTTTGCCGGATCCCCTTTTTCTGTGCGATGGCCGCCGTCTTCAGTGGTTCGAGGTTCAGTGGGTGCGTCACCGATCCTTGGGTGCGGCTTGGTTGCTCGATTCAATTCAGGTACGGTTGATTCTCTCTTGACAAGCTCTGATGTCCGACTGCCTCGATTTTCCTGATTCTACCGGTGTCTTTCCGGAGTTGTGGGGTGTTGGGGCGGGTTTCGGCCTCGGGTGTTTTGTTCGGGGGATTATCGCTTGTTGGGTTGTGTTGTAGCTGCCGGGCCTTGATGCCTTTCGATCCCTTCTTTCTTTTGCTCTTCGGTTCATTTGGGAGGCCGCTCATGTCCGATATTGGCTAGTGGTGTTAGGTGATGTCGGGATGGTGTTGGATTCGGCTAGTGGTGTTAGCAGATTGGGGGTTGATTGTTGTATCTTGCGGTTGGAGAGCAGGTTGGTTTTTTGGTTTGTTTTACGGCTTGGGTATTCGTCTTTGCTAGGCTTTAGGCAGTGGCAGGCAGAGTTTCCTATGCTGTGGACCTTCCTCGAAGTCGACCTCGTCTGCTGTCCGTTCTCGGTTGTCTCTACTGAAGGAGGGCTTATTTAGTGTGCTTAGTGTTTGTTTGTTGTTTTCTGTGATTTTTGTTCGTTAGTTGGTCTGTGTATTTGTTTGTCTTTGTTTGGATATGAATACAGGCTAGACATTGTGCAGTGGCTCTGTTATTTATATTCCTTTATTTTCGGTTGTGGAGTTCTCTAGGCCGCCACTTGCGTGTCCTCTCAGTTTTTTTATTCCTGTTCTTTTATTAGGCGTGTTTTTGGTTTGGGCCGTTGGCCCCTGTCTCATTACCCTGTTGGGGTCTTAGATTACCCCGTTGGGGCCTTGTAATTTGTTCTCTTTGCACTTTTGTGCTTTTTATAGTACATCTATCGTTCCGGCAAAAAAAAAATACCCCTTCTATACTAAGGGTGTATTCAATTGGGATTTCAAGTGACATTTTGAGACTTTCAAGATTTGAGATATTGTTAAGATTTCCAGATTTTGGAGAAATTCTGTGAAATCCTAGGTCTGGAGGTGGTATTTGAAGTAGGATTTCGTGTAAGACTTTTTGTTTATAAATCACACCAAATCTTAAAAAGTCTTAACAAATCCTAGTGTTAAATCCAAATCCTCATGAATTGCCTCAAGGACTTTAGGGCTAAATCGGGGCTATAAATGAATGTTCAAAAATCCAATATTTACTTGGCCGGAGTAAATGAAGCTAACCAGGCAACAATCCTTGATGAAACGCACTTGCAATGTGGTCCAATGCAATTTCGGTA